TTACCCTTATTAGTTCTTACTAAGAGAAAATTTGGCATTCACAGCATTTAGGTTTGTAGAATACAGTTCAAAGCTTGTTTCCCGTCTCATGTAATATGACAAAGGGGCCTTTTATGGGTGGCCCAGTTGTCTATGGCATTGCTTAGGCACACCAGAAATTTATGGTCATAGGTTTGAATTCCAGTTTGCCCTGATTATGTTTTTGGGTTTGTCAGCACCATACCCGTGGTTGTGGGTTTCACTAAAGTGGTAAACATCTAAGACTGCACACATCAGGCTGACACTCCGTGATATTAATGGAATACCTTTTGAAGCAAAGTTAACTCACTCGCTCATTTCCATTGAAATTATTCCAACAGGAAAGTATCTTAAGAGTTAAAGTTAGCATCTTATACTAACTGGGTAAAGGAGGATCTAGAATGGGGATTTCAATCTCATTATATTTTGACTCATGTTGTGGAAGGCTCTGAGGGTCGGCTGAAAAGTTCTGAACCTGACTATGAAGGATGTATTGAACACCCTTAAGAGGTTCATGTTGTTTCTTTGTTTTGTTGTCTCATTCGGCAATAATTCCAGCTATATAATGGAGGTCTGTTACTAATTAAGTCTGGACCAGACAATCCAGTGATGGATGTCATAAGCACTGATTTACTCAATTGGGATACAATTACATCAATCAAGTCACCAAGTGTGATCACCCAATCCTGAACATACCACCTTACAACAAGCATGAGTTAGTGAAGATCAGTTCTTACCCGTATCTTCACAGGTCAGGGGTACATGTGTTAAGTGTCATACTTTCCATTCTCACAGGCTGCTTTTATACCAAATTCACAACCTGACAGCAAGTTTCTACCGACATCAAAGTGACAAGGTATTTTCTGTGAACAGGGACATGATTGTCTTCCATGCTGTCATCAAGTGTCTCCCAACTGAAAGGGGTAACTCCAATAGGTAACCATGTCGCCATGGTGTCAGCTTTAGGAGATGATGCATTTTCCTTTGCCACTGTTGGGAGACTTGAAGATAATCCAAGATCAGGACAACCTTCAATTGCTCCTGATTAGAAAGGCTCTTGGTTCATCCCCTGAGAATTTATGTTGTTTTATGCAGACCCAGTTGAGCGGTTTGTAACCACGTGTGAGTCTTTGGTTCACTTTGGTTCACACTGGACAAAAATCAAAGCAGGCAGAACATCTAAGGCAAAGTATTTTCCATCAGCTTGCAAAGTGATGGCTTCAGTTTTCTGGGATTCCAAATGAGTAAAACTGATAGACTACCTCCCAAAAAGTCAGATTCATGAGATTTGGCACCAAACTTAAAGAAAGAACTGTCTGGCAGTGGCATCCAGGCAGTGGCATCCAGGCAGTGGCATCCAGGCCCTCCAGCATTATTGGCAGAAGGGTATGAACCTTAAGAAGGGATTATGATATTACTAATTAGCACCCAACTCCATCATTGCAGTCCATCATAGTCAGGCTCAGAACTTTTCAGCCACCCCTCTATTGATGTTATGCTTTATTATTCTTGTTATGGGCCAGTGGCTTCATGTACAGAAGTATAGAATTGAATTGAATGTAAGGTTAACCAACTGATTCATGAAGCATCAATAGTAGGGACTTGAGCAAATTCATACATGAATACAGAAATAATTTCAAACGACATGAAATATAAAGGAATGAAAAACTCTGATGTTGAAAATTGTTCACAGAAAACAGATCCAGGAAGCTGAAAGCTACAGTGCCGTGCCAGTTATATTCGTACGATATATAACGGTTTATAACCGTCGAATATTTTACGAGCACAAAAATGTTTCGCGTAGCGTCAATAATGCTCGGAACCATGTTAAATTTGACATGACGTCACTTTGATCATGTGACCGTCACGTGATGTCCTTCAAAGTGTCGTCTGCTGTTTTGATCAAAACATACGATAATCAGTGCAAACATGGGGAGAAAATCTAAGGAATTGAGTAGTGATGTGAAAAGAATAGCGTTAAAGTTAAAAGAAGAGGGGAAAAGTTATCAAGCGATTACTGACCTGTTGGGGGTTCCCAAGTCTACTTTGGGTAGTATTTTTGCTAAAGTTCAGCGAACGGGTTCGGTAGAAAACATCCCGAGACAAGCTAGACAAAAAAAGTTGTCAGACAGAGATCGCACCATCACTGGTAATTTCAATTCGGTGAGAGACCAACCTGTCTCTAAAAGAAATTCAAAGGGAATTACACCGAGAAGGAGTTTACAGTCGCATCACGAAAAAAAAGATGGTTGTTAGGGGGGTGAACAGAAGAAAACGTGTCTTGTGGTGTCTGAGTATGAGGAAAAAAACTGTCAATGATTTTTGGAAAAATGTAATCTTTACTGATGAGAGTCAGGTGGTTATTGGAAATAATAATCGTGTATACATTTGGAGAAAGGAAAACGAACCTGATCGACCCCCCTCGAACCAGGAAGTTGAGTTTGATGGTGTGGGGGAGTATCAGTTATCATGGTGTGGGGACTTTGGTGCGTGTAAATGGTAACATCAATGCCCAGAAATACATAGAAATTGTGGACAATAATTTGTGGCCAGTAATTTGTAGAAATTTTCCAGATAATAACTATATATTTCAAGACGACAATGCGCCCGTTCATATGGCAAATATTGTGAAAAAATTCATCGCCGACAATGCCATAAACACGATGGATTGGCCAGCACAATCACCGGATTTAAATGTTATAGAAAATGTTTGGCTAAAACTAAAGAAAAAACTACAGGACACTGTAAACGACATCACTAACCAAGATCAGCTGTTTGAAGCAATCCATATCACTTGGCAGGACATTGAGCTAGACTTTATTCGTGGCCTTTATGAATCTATTCCAAGCCGGATATCTAAAGTTCTAACTATGAAAGTGCATCTTACCAAGTATTAAGGTATGTAGATCATTTTTTCATTAATAAATGACGCTCTGTAAAAGCGAGTCGATATGTAAACAAACGGTGGCCATTTTGGATCGTACGAATATAACTGGCACGGCACTGTACCTGGGTTTGTTTGTCATTTGTTCCTTCCTTTTTTCTTGACCAACTGACTGTTCTTTAATGTTAAAGAACTACTCTGGTATTATGCTGTGATGCAACAATTGTTAAACGGTTGAGGAGAAATTATAAACATTTGGAGACCCATGAATAGCTCTTCAGCAACCCATGCTTGCCAGGAAAGGCGACTAAGCTTGTTGTAAGAGGCAACTAACGGGATCAGGTGGTCAGGCTCGCTGACTTGGTTGATGCATGATATTGATCCCAATTGTGTGGATCGATACTCATGATGTCAATCACTGGATTGGCTGGTCCAGACAAAATTATTGACAGACTGCCGTTCGATATTGATGGAATATTGCTGAGTGCGTCGTTAAACAACAAACACACTAACAAACAGACATTTGGAAGGTTTTCTTGTATGTATGAATACATGATCATAAGCATGACGTGGACTATTGAGTTAAATGAGTAAGTTTCTCCTGTGTAATGAGATGACTGGGTGATGTCCCTTGAAGGATGTGTCCTGTTGTTGATAGTTATGGCGTTGGGCACGGATGGATGTGTCCTTGTGTAAATAGTGATGGTGTGGAGGATGGATGGATGTGTCCTTGTGTAAATAGTGTTGGTGTGGAGCAGGGATGGATGTGTTCTGGTGTTAATAGTGATGGTGTGGAGCAGGGATGGATGTGTTCTGGTGTTAATAGTGATGGCGTGGAGCAGGGATAGATGTGTCCTCGTGTTAATAGTTATGGCGTGGAGGATGGATGGATATGTCCTTGTGTTAATAGTGATGGTGTGGAGCAGGAATGGATGTATTCTGGTGTTGATAGTGATGGTGTGGAGCAGGGATGGATGTGTTCTGGTGTTAATAGTGATGGCGTGGAGCAGGAATGGATGTGTCCTCGTGTTAATAGTGATGGTGTGGAGCAGGGATGGATATGTTAATAGTGATGGTGTGGAGCAGGAATGGATGTATTCTGGTGTTAATAGTGATGGTGTGGAGGATGGATGGATGTGTCCTTGTGTTAATAGTGTTGGTGTGGAGCAGGGATGGATGTATTCTGGTGTTAATAGTGATGGTGTGGAGCAGGGATGGATGTGTTCTGGTGTTAATAGTGATGGTGTGGAGCAGGGATGGATGTGTTCTGGTGTAAATAGTGATGGCGTGGAGCAGGGATGGATGTATTCTGGTGTTAATAGTGATGGCGTGGAGCAGGAATGGATGTGTCCTCATGTTAATAGTGATGGTGTTGAGCAGGGATGGATGTGTCCTCGTGTTAATAGTGATGGTGTGGAGCAGGAATGGATGTATTCTGGTGGTAATAGTGATGGTGATGAGCAGGGATGGATGTGTTCTGGTGTAAATAGTGATTGCGTGGAGCAGGGATGGATGTATTCTGGTGTTAATAGTGATGGCGTGGAGCAGGAATGGATGTGTCCTCGTGTTAATAGTGATGGTGTTGAGCAGGGATGGATGTGTCCTCGTGTTAATAGTGATGGTGTGGAGCAGGAATGGATGTATTCTGGTGGTAATAGTGATGGCGTGGAGCAGGGATGGATGTATTCTGGTGGTAATAGTGATGGTGTGGAGGAGGGATGGATGTGTCCTCGTGTTAATAGTGATGGTGTGGAGCAGGAATGGATGTATTCTGGTGTTAATAGTGATGGCGCGGAGCAGGAATGGATGTGTTCTCGTGTTAATAGTGATGGTGTGGAGCAGGGATGGATGTGTCCTGGTGTTGATGGTGAGCGTGGAGCAGGAATGGATGTATTCTGGTGTTAATAGTGATGGCGTGGAGCAGGGATGGATGTGTCCTCGTGTTAATAGTGATGGTGTGGAGCAGGAATGGATGTATTCTGGTGTTAATAGTGATCGTGTGGAGCAGGAATGGATGTGTCCTGGTGTTAATAGTGATGGTGTGGAGCAGGGATGGATGTGTTCTGGTGTTAATAGTGATGGCGTGGAGCAGGGATAGATGTGTCCTCGTGTTAATAGTTATGGCGTGGAGGAGGGATGGATATGTCCTTGTGTTAATAGTGATGGTGTGGAGCAGGAATGGATGTATTCTGGTGTTGATAGTGATGGTATGGAGCAGGGATGGATGTGTTCTGGTGTTAATAGTGATGGCGTGGAGCAGGAATGGATGTGTCCTCGTGTTAATAGTGATGGTGTGGAGCAGGGATGGATGTATTCTGGTGTTAATAGTTATGGCGTGGAGGAGGGATGGATGTGTCCTGGTGTTAATAGTGATGGTGTGGAGGATGGATGGATGTGTCCTTGTGGTAATAGTGATGGTGTGGAGGATGGATGGATGTGTTCTGGTGTAAATAGTGATGGCGTGGAGCAGGGATGGATGTATTCTGGTGTTAATAGTGATGGTGTGGAGGAGGGATGGATGTGTCCTGGTGTTAATAGTGATGGTGTTGAGCAGGGATGGATGTATTCTGGTGGTAATAGTGATGGTGTGGAGCAGGGATGGATGTGTCCTCGTGTTAATAGTGATGGTGTGGAGCAGGGATGGATGTGTCCTCGTGTTAATAGTGATGGTGTGGAGCAGGGATGGATGTGTCCTCGTGTTAATAGTGATGGTGTGGAGCAGGAATGGATGTATTCTGGTGGTAATAGTGATGGTGTGGAGCAGGGATGGATGTGTTCTGGTGTAAATAGTGATTGCGTGGAGCAGGGATGGATGTGTCCTCGTGTTAATAGTGATGGTGTTGAGCAGGGATGGATGTGTCCTCGTGTTAATAGTGATGGTGTGGAGCAGGAATGGATGTATTCTGGTGGTAATAGTGATGGTGTGGAGCAGGGATGGATGTGTTCTGGTGTAAATAGTGATTGTGTGGAGCAGGGATGGATGTGTCCTCATGTTAATAGTGATGGTGTTGAGCAGGGATGGATGTGTCCTCGTGTTAATAGTGATGGTGTTGAGCAGGGATGGATGTGTCCTCGTGTTAATAGTGATGGTGTGGAGCAGGAATGGATGTATTCTGGTGGTAATAGTGATGGTGTGGAGCAGGGATGGATGTGTTCTGGTGTAAATAGTGATTGCGTGGAGCAGGGATGGATGTATTCTGGTGTTAATAGTGATGGCGTGGAGCAGGAATGGATGTGTCCTCGTGTTAATAGTGATGGTGTTGAGCAGGGATGGATGTATTCTGGTGTTAATAGTGATGGCGCGGAGCAGGAATGGATGTGTTCTCGTGTTAATAGTGATTGCGTGGAGCAGGGATGGATGTATTCTGGTGTTAATAGTGATGGCGTGGAGCAGGAATGGATGTGTCCTCGTGTTAATAGTGATGGTGTTGAGCAGGGATGGATGTATTCTGGTGTTAATAGTGATGGCGCGGAGCAGGAATGGATGTGTTCTCGTGTTAATAGTGATGGCGCGGAGCAGGAATGGATGTGTTCTCGTGTTAATAGTGATGGCGTGGAGCAGGGATGGATGTATTCTGGTGTTAATAGTGATGGTGTGGAGCAGGGATGGATGTGTCCTGGTGTTAATAGTGATGGTGTGGAGCAGGGATGGATGTATTCTGGTGTTAATAATGATGGCGTGGAGCAGGGATGGATGTGTTCTCGTGTTAATAGTGATGGTGTGGAGGAGGGATGGATGTGTCCTGGTGTTAATAGTGATGGTGTGGAGCAGGGATGGATGTATTCTGGTGTTAATAGTGATGGCGTGGAGCAGGGAAGGATGTGTCCTCGTGTTAATAGTGATGGTGTTGAGCAGGAATGGATGTCTCCTCGTGTTAATAGTGATGGTGTGGAGCAGGGATGGATGTATTCTGGTGTTAATAGTGATGGCGTGGAGCAGGAATTGATGTGTCCTCGTGTTAATAGTGATGGTGTTGAGCAGGGATGGATGTGTCCTCGTGTTAATAGTGATGGTGTGGAGCAGGAATGGATGTATTCTGGTGGTAATAGTGATGGTGTGGAGGAGGGATGGATGTGTCCTCGTGTTAATAGTGTTGGTGTGGAGCAGGGATGGATGTATTCTGGTGTTAATAGTGATGGCGCGGAGCAGGAATGGATGTGTTTTCGTGTTAATAGTGATGGTGTGGAGCAGGGATGGATGTATTCTGGTGTTAATAGTGATGGTGTGGAGCAGGGATGGATGTGTTCTCGTGTTAATAGTGATGGTGTGGAGCAGGGATGGATGTGTTCTCGTGTTAATAGTGATGGTGTGGAGCAGGGATGGATGTATTCTGGTGTTAATAGTGATGGCGTGGAGCAGGGATGGATGTGTCCTTGTGTTAATAGTGATGGTGTGGAGCAGGGATGGATGTATTCTCGTGTTAATAGTGATGGTGTGGAGCAGGGATGGATGTGTTCTCGTGTTAATAGTGATGGTGTGGAGCAGGGATGGATGTGTCCTTGTGTTAATAGTGATGGTGTGGAGCAAGGATGGATGTGTCACTGATATAAGACAGCATCATCAATGATGCAGCCTCATTATGGAGATGATGCATGTCGCAGCTGTGAGGCCAGTACTGCCCAGAACACAGACCAGCTGTTGATAAATGATGTCACCACTGCCTCATAGTCTTATCAGCTTCTCTTGTCTGTAGCTCTGAGTAATATCTACTTTGGTATGTAACTGTTATCAGTCCACTTTTTGGCTCACGTTTTTAGGCTCATACGCGCATTTGTTGTTCGTGGTCTGTGGGTCCATCCAAACTTATGTACATATTTAGTGTCTTCACTAAAATGAAACAGTAATTTCTTCCACATTCCTGGGTCTGACTCTACTAGCATCAATGTAGAGATCTTTCATTTTTGTGTTGTAGTTCTGAGATATGAGCCTTGTGCTGTACCCACACTTTGAGTTGACCTTTCCTGGCTGCTGAGTGTACAGGCCACATGATTGAACTTATGTACATTACCAAATGTGTTGGACATATCCTTCATGCTTGCTTGTGTTATCACACACACAGGAGATACCTACTGGGCCATAATCTCAGGTGCCAGAGCTTATGACTGTCCTAGGGGCGGTCGGGTAGCCTGGTGGTTAAAGCGTTCGCTCGTCACGCCGAAGACCCGGGTTCGATTCCCGACATGGGTACAATGTGTGAAGCCCATTTCTGGTGTCCCCCGCCGTGATGTTGCTGGAATATTGCTAAAAGCGGCGTAAAACCATACTCACTCACTCACTCACTCACTATGACTGTCCTCTCGGGAAAGACCTCGAACATTACCATGGGGTGACAGTCTTCTTTACAAGCCAGCATACCCTGAAGCAGGACTGGAAGTATCCCCCAAGAGGCTTTTGTTCCTGATATGCTTAATTTCACTCAGAGGTCATCAAGACAGCTCAGGATCAAAATTTTAACCACAAAATATGATTCTGAATTGGGAAACGCGATTACTTTGGCTGAAAGCTTCTTTGTCAGTACTGGGAGGAAGATGTGTTTGTGAATATGAGCACACAGCTGATATATGTGATATGGCATTCAATTTGCCTTAATATGTTGCCTATCACTCCTGATGCAGTCATTACCTCTCATCTCCTTGGTACTGTGACCATGGGACCCGTGAAGATTCCGGGCTAGAATAGGTCTTCAGCAACCCATGCTTGCCTTAAAAGGTGACTATGCTTGTCGTAAAAGGCGACTAACGGGATCGGGTGGTCAGGCTCGCTGACTTGGTTGATGCATGTCATCGATCCCAATTGCGTGGATGGATGCTCATGATATTAATCACTGGATTGTCTGGTCCAGACTCGATTATTTACAGACCGCCGTCATATAGCTGGAATATTGCTGAGTGCGGCATTAAACAACACACAAACAAAACAAACAAAACTGTGACCATGGTGACATGTTACTGTCTCAGTCATTTCCAGGCAGGAGTCCTGTGTAACATAGTGGCCCATTGGTGTGAGGTGTATCCACTCATTGTGCTTGCTGTAGCTGACAGGAGCTGCCTGTAGTGCTCCAGACTTGTCCATGGAATGCTAGTATCATACCCATGGTCTTGGGCCTACCCACTCCCTTTAGCTGACATACTGTGATGTGACCAAAAAGGTGGCAATGCAGCTCTCTCACTCACTCTTTAAGTTAAATTTCTGTGATAAAATTAAATATGATTTCCTTACCATGGTTTTTTTGTCACATAGGCAAAGTTCAATCTTCAAAAAGAAAATGAATATGTGAATGTTTTGAAATTTTATCAAATCTTTTCTTATGCATGTACTACAAACATCTGAAGCTTTGTTTTAAGGATAATAACAATGTTAGTCAACCTGGGCTAAAGATCTGGGGTAGAATGGGTCTTCAGCAACCCATGCTTTTAAGATGTTAGTAATAAATGCTTGTTCCTGATTGTTAATTGCTCTAATTATTCAAAATGTCAAGATCAAAGATCATTCAACAATGTATATAATGATGTTATTTTGGTAGGATTAACAGAAATAGCAAAAACAGTATATGTATAAGGGCTAAGAATCACAAGAAAGATAAACATATCAGGCGATGAAAACAGTAGTCACCACTGTGCCGGTAGCTTTAGGACACCCCCCCCCCCCTAAATACGTTTGTTTTTTAACGTGTAATTTCAGCGCTTTCACTTGGACATTTAAATACTTTCTACAAATATTGTGATTTTTTTTAAAAATTTTCCTCTCAGAAATTGACTAGATGTATCTAGGACAATTGATATTTGCAATAATGTTTTTCACTATACTTGCCCTTTGCCCTTTAACATAGACTTGTGATAGTCATAGCGCTGAGATGACTTTGCGCAAATGGGCCCTGGGCTATTGCAGATGTGACAATTTGAAACACAAGCATGCAAATCATTGCTCACAATATCAGACTCAATTATTTTTATGTCGGCATCATTTAACTGGAATATTTCTGAGTACAGTGCGTGTGTGTTAATTAAACAACAAAAAACTTACAACAGCAGCTTCACAATTGTGGGCATCAACATCTGACAGAGACAGTTTTGTTTATATTTTGCTGACAAAACATCCAATACACAACATGATTTCAGATAAGGTGATAGTTCCAGGTGAACTACATATCATGACTTTATTTGTAACTAATCGGATGTTGACGCTTACAGGAAGTTGAAATAGTCGTTATATTTGAACATAATTGCACTGTTTCTTTACTCTAGATTTTCTGAAATACTGATCTTGGCGGTGGTAGTGAGCCAGCAATAAGGCACAAAAGATGTGCCAGAGTACTGTGACTATCTGGAGATCGCTCCAGCTAATATACTGGAGAACTGTTGTGTGAACAATGGAAGAGAGGTTGTATCAGTACAGCCTTTGTCAGTCCGTTGTGTTTTCTGATCCCTGATTGTTTGCCACTCTGGCTTTGATTTATGGTGGAGTTGCTACTGTGTAGGATTTCATTTTAATCATGTTAAGATGAACAGAGAGAAAATTGTGATGCTTTCAGTATTAAATGATGTCCTTGCAAGATAATGAGAAGTTAAGTGTTCTGACTGAGATTAATGTCTTGGCATATTCCCAGGGTACTTTGGGCCCAGGTCTTGCCGTTTATAGTTAACTAAGGGCAGCTGCAGGTCTAACAAAGCGATACAGTGATAAGTCATAGTTGTTTACAATGAATGATTATTGATTTGTGGCAAACATTGAAGAATTTATTTTACAATCATTTTGAAAACATTTGTAATTATTTTTTAAAAGCATTTGAATCAAATTCCTTTTATAATATGTACAAGTCATAGCATTAGTCTTGGTATATATTAACCACACATACTTTTTTAGCCATTCTTGGTTAAATTTTCTTTTCACAGCAGCCAATTTTGATCTACTTTCCAATGTCACTGGCATGGATGGTTTCTCCATGTATTTTATTTGTGTCCATCGGCTAGGAATCACGTCATTGTTTTCACTAAACACTTTCACTGGTACGATTGTTTTTTCTGTGAAAAGATGGAAACTACTTGCCATATGTTGTCAAGCAACACGGAACAGTCTAGTTCGTAAACTCGATTCAGTGCATATAGTAAATTTATTTAGCATCACCGAATCCTCGCAGTGCTGCATGGAGCTATCAAAATGTTCATTGACACAGATGATGAGGGCGGCTTTAGGATTTCCATTGCAATCGCAAACACTGGCGAATGAGAAAACAGCTGAGCAATTGTCAATCAAATTATTTATACCTGTCTACTAATTTGAAGTAACTAAAGACATTTGGTGACCTTATTTTATTGTAGACAAACTGAAATTTTGGTTGCATTGTCGACCATTTTAGTCTCAACTTTGATGTCTAAGTATACTAGTGTCAGTTTATTATGTCCTTCAGAGACAGTAATTAGTGCTGTGTCCCTGTGATATGTACTTAATGTGATTAGTTGAATTGTTCTTACTCAGACACCATCTTTTGTAATCTAATTTCACAAGAATCGTGAGAAAATGGATTTTTTTCAGGCAGCATCTTCATCATTCCAGTAGAAGAGCAATTATGAGCCATTAGCTTTGATGGTAATGGGAAGGTGTAACATTAAGACTGCCCCCTGGAGAATCAAGCTCCTAAATTAACTGTGTGTTTGCCAAAAAAAACAGGGATGGCAAAATTACAAGAGAAAATGTTCACCTGACTTAGCTAGCACAAAATACCAAGATCAAATTAAATGCAAACCCTACCTTTAGTTGAAGAAATGATCTTGTCATAAGTAAATGTCAAATGTAAAACTTTAGATATTTAAGCATTTCATTGATTATCACATTATCTTGTCATGTATGCTGTGAAGACGTATGATTTAAATACATCCAGATTTTGAAAGTGAATCATTTTGAAAAAAATATGATCCTACAATCGACAAAAAGTGGAAATGGCTGGATGTTTCCTTTCCCCCATGTCTAACATATTTTCTTAAACCTACATGCCTCAGGGTCTTCCGCAATGCACAAATGTGTGTCCAGTATGCACAGTTTTAGAGAATGGACGCAGAAAAATAATATACTGCGTCTCTAGGGACGCACAATAATATTCATTGTACCTACAGTGCATCAAGAGCAGTTTAGGTGTCTGTTATTTCATCCATCAATCATGGCCACGGTCCACATGATCTTTGATTCATTCCAGGTTATAAAGAAACTATCAAAATGTACAGTACACTACACCATGCCATTACTTTAGAGGACCCTCATATTGTTTGCAAGGACCCTTAAAATTAATTATTGGGTCCCTGGACCCCCACATTTGTAAGTGAAGGTAAAAGCCTGTTGCCTATTATAATCAGCAGTAACTAAGGTAAAGGTGTTACTCCTACTGGGAATCGTGAACTAACAAGGAAGAGACAGAAGAACAGAAGAGCTACCGTACATCCCTTGGTCCCTTACTATGGGGACCTTAACTTTGTTGCTGGCAATCTATAGCCCCATTTTTGTATGGTATCTTTGTCAAATAGGCAGATATATTTTATGTTCTCTAACTAATC